CAAACCATACATGGCTATAAAGGTCAACACCAGCAGCTTGCATTGTACTGAGAAACATACTGGGAGTCAGTGTAAATAGGTCAAGACTGAAGTGATACTGTCAACATCCTCCTGTCAACATCCTGGCTACAGCATTCTGTACCAATTGAAGTTCCTGACACTTCTCAAGCATCTATTCTAAAATAGCCTCCAGGCCCCTATTCAAGGTTTCTACACCCTTCCCAGGGTTGTCCAGAAGCACAAGACAGAACTGAGCATCATATACATATTGGTGACAGTCCAGCCCATATCTCCACATGACCTCATCCAATGGTTTGATGTAGATATAGAACTGATTGCCATTGATGGAGTGCCATGGTCAGATCATTTTGCCCTGAAGGTCCGGTTGGGTGCCCCAGCCTCCTCCTGTCTAGGTGGTGAGCCTATTTATGCTCGCCCATGAAGACAAATGGACCCAATTGGGTTCCAGAATGCTCTGATGGATACCTTGGTATATCATGAAGCTAAGGGGGATGGAATGGGAACTTAGACGACCAGAGAGAGTTTGGCGGCAGTCTCGTGATGAAGCTGCAGAAACATCCTGTAGGTCATAAGAACATAAGAGACGCCAATGTTGGATCAGGCCAAAGGCCCATCCAGTCCAACACTCTGTGTCACACAGTGGCCAGAAATACCAGGTGCCATCAGGAGGTCCACCAGTGGGGCCAGGACATTAGAAGCCCTCCCACTGTTGACCCCCCCCCCAAGCACCAAGAAGACAGAGCATCACTTGCCCCAGAGCCCTTATCTATACCTTGTGGCTAATAGCCACTGATGGACCTCTTCTTTCATTTATGAAATGCTAAAGGGAATTTTATTCAGTTTCCATCGCATCTGCTAGCTCTCACCTGCATAATTATTTAGGATAATTAGGTTTTTGACTTCTCTTACGGAGAGAACCCAAAATATTAGAAATTTGGTCATTAGTTGTGAGGCTTTTGCAAGCTTTTTCATGGATAGTTTTCTTACTCCACCATGACCTGACTGCCAACGTTGATATACTATGTGAACTGGAGGCCCCTTGGCCATCACTGGATTCAGTATTTGATAACTTCAGCTGACTCTCCGGGGATGATGTTGACAGGATTCTGGGTGCTGTTAAGCCAACCACATGCCTCTTAGACCCATGCCCATCGTGGCTGGTGAAGGCCAGTGGTGAGGGAATTCGGAGGCCCCTGGCAGACATTATCAATCTGTCCCTTAGTTCATGGGTCTATCTGGGAAGATTAAAAGAGGCTGTGGTGATACCGTTCTTAAAGAAACCACCTTTGGACCCTATGGATCCTGCCAATCACTGCCCAGTCTTGAACCTTTTGTTCCTGGATAAGGTAATTGAGAGAGCGGTGGAGAAACAGCTCCATAGTTTCCTGGAAGACACATCAGCCCTAGACCTATTCGAATCCAGCTTCCGCCCTGGCCATGGGACAGAGATGGCACTGGACACCCTCACAGAATATCTTCACAGGCAGCTGGATCGAGGTGGGTCAGCACTGCTGTTATTATTAGATCTGACTGCAGCATTCAATACAGTCAACTACAACCTGTTGACCCACCAACTTGCCAATGTAGGAGTTCGTGGGATAGCCTTGAAGTGGCTTACCTCATTTCTCCAAGGTCAGAGACAGAGGGTGGCACTAGGAGAGAGGATGTCACCCAGTCACACTTTGGTGTGTGAGGCCCCTCAGGGAGCAATCCTCTTTCCAATGTTGTTTAACATATATATGCACTCCCTTGCCCAGTTGGTGCAGAGTTTTGGGCTGTGCTGTCACCAATATGCAGATTACAACCAGTAGTATCTGTTGATGGACAGACGGACACTGTCCCAGCTATTTTGACAGCCAGTTTGGTGTAGCGGTTAAGTGCGCGGACTCTAATCTGGGAGAACCGAGTTTGATTCCCCACTCCTCCACTTGCACCTGCTGGGTGACCGTGGGCAAGCCATAGTTCTGGCACAGCTGTTCTTGGGGAAAAAAGAGCAGTTTCTGTCAGAGCTCTCCCAGCCCCACCTACCTCACAGGGTGTCTGTTGTAGGGAGGGGGAAGGGAAAGGAGTTTGTAAGCCGCTCTGAGACTCCCTTGGGTAGTGAAGGGCGGGGTATAAATCTAATCGCTTCTCTCTTCTTTTGGCTGAGTGGTTGAAAGGCATGGTTGGATGGTTTGAAACAGAGCCGGCTGAGACCGAATCCATCAAAGACATATGAGTTCTGCAGCTGGGAAGGGAGGAATCGGGGATAGGGTGCTAACTCCTGGCTCTTGATGGAGTACCTCTAAAACCCTACCTACCGCCAGGAGCCTGGTTGTGCTTCTGGATGCCTCCTTATCAATGGAGGCCCAGATCACAAACATTGCCAGATTGGTGTTTTTTCAACTTCCAACAGGTCAGGCAATTGGCCCCCTTCCTGTCTCACTCCGACCTTCAACAGATCAACAGAACTCAAGACAGTTGCTCGCTTTTTGTTTTTGTTATTTTGTGAAGCATGATGTAGACTTGATGTAACTATCTTTTTAAAATTAATTTTATTAATAGCCATAGTTTAAAACTTACACATTCAAAGTTCTACAAAAATTTACAAATTCAAAGCTCTGCAAAACAAAATTACATTGTTGCCTCAATTTGACTAATAACAGAAGACCATAAACTTTCAAATAATACAGGACAGTTACCTCTTTGTAATAATAAGAAGAGGAGAGGAGATTGCCTTCCACCCTTAATCAACAACATTTCAAGTCTGAGAGAGGTCTCTCAGAAACCTACCTATAGAGGATTCTTCAATAAATAGCTTTTCACCAGGACATAGTCCAAGAAGATAAGCAGACCATTACTGCAGTTTACAACTGTATCAAAATTAATCATCTTATTTTTTTCAAGCAAAGCCTTGGCAGGGCTCTTTTTGTAGCAGGTACTCATTTGCATATTAAGCGACACACCCCCTAATGTAGCCAATCCTCCAAGAGCTTACAGTAGCTCCTGTAAGAAGAGCTCTGTAAGCTCTTGGAGGATTGGCTACATTGGGGGGGGGGTGCCCTAATATGCAAAGGAGTTCCTGCTACAAAAAGAGCCCTGCTTGCAAGTATCTAGGCAACAGGATTCCCATTTACTTAGTGAAACTACCTGAAACGCCTGGAGTTTATTCAGGTCTCTAACTGCCAATGCTAAAGGAGATAGACCGAAACATAATTTTTTTTTAATATAAGCCCCACACCTGAAGAAGAGCACTGATCATTATATATTGCCCTTATATACTAATATCCTATCCTTTTTATGCATCCATAGAAAAGTTCTCAGGGGCATTCCCACATACGTATGCTCCAAAATGTTACTATCTGAATCCGAAGCATCTAGTACCCAACTCACTAACCAAGTTAGTCTTGCAGTATCGTGGTCACTGTTCCCTCTAAGCTGAGTTAGTGTGAGCTAGCTCACAGCTTTTTAACCTCCAGCTCACACATTTTTGTCTTAGCTCAGGAAGGATTGCTCCAGAGCAAACTAATTTATGCAGCAGCCAAATCGCTCGCTCGCAACTTTAATGCCAGTAGCTCACAAAGTAGAATTTTTGCTCACAGGACTCCACAGCTTAGACGGAACGTTGATCATGGTATAGCTATTTGCCATCTAACCTTAGGCTTCTTACCTCCCCAAATAAACTTATTTATCATTGCTTGCCACCAGTGTTCCCTCTAAGCTGAGTTAGTGTGAGCTAGCTCACAGTTTTTTAGCCTCCGGCTCACACATTTTTGCCTTAGCTCAGGAAGGATGGCTCCAGAGCAAACTAGTTTATGCAGCAGCCAAATTGCTCGCTCACAGCTTTAATGCCAGTAGCTCACAAAGCAGAATTTTTGCTCACAAGACTCCACAGCTTGGAGGGAACATTGCTTGCCACTCACCAAGAGTAGCCCTAGGGATCATTGCATGGATGTTAAACAGCAAATAATTTATTTTCAGCATCACCTTCATTTTAATTGCATTAATGCAACCTATGATAGACAAATTAGGACTCCCAGGTATTCAGCATATTTTTAATGTCTGTAATTACTGCTTTAGAGTTAATTTTCCAGATATCAGAGTTATTACTGCCTATTTTAAACCCTAAGTATGTTACATGAGTATTATATAAGTACATATTTGAAAGCCAATCAGAGATTATCTCAGAAGAGCTTATATTGAGCAATAAAGCTTGTTCTCTCTACATTTAGTTTATAACTAGAACTGCAAGGATGGGAGAGGGGGCGCCAGCAAGGAAGGAGGCCACTCCAGCTCGGGGACCATGTGGGTTAGGTGTCTCCGTGCTCTGGCCAGGAACTGGCAAAAAACACACAAACTGCCTTAAAAGTTTGTGGAAGCCTGTGCCAGTGAACCCGTCACAGAATTTCGTTCCTAAATGGCAAACAGGGTAAAAGTCATCACAAATTTTGCCTTGTGTTTCGGTCCGTGTCCATCCCTATTTATAACCTGCAACTTCAAAAAAAAAATATCAATAATCCTTTTTAGTTCCATGCTAGAGCTAACTGGTTCCATCATAAAGACAACAATATCATCTGCACAGAGACTTAATTTAACTTGCCTGTGATCAATTCCGACACCTTTTAACTGACTGGACTCTCTAATCATAATTGCTAACTAACAGTGCCAAAGAAATACTGAATAGCAGACTGATACTATCAACGCTAATAATAATTTACTGCTGCCCTATTTATAAACAGGGTTTTTTCCCCTCTCTCTGGCAATTTCATTGCATTCTATAAAGTCAGTGCAACATGTCCTCCAGGTCTGCCTTCCCATTCCACCCAAATGCTCCCCCCCAAAAAAAAAGCTTCACAGGCCAAGCTCTCATATACACATAAAACCGTTTCTCCTTCCCTAAACCCCTTTTAGTAGCTTTGTTGGTACTTACTCAAATCAGGTCAGTTCTTTGGGGGGAAATGTAATCTGTATTTAAGTGAGGAGTACTGAAGGACACATACCGTATCTGAACTTTTTAAAGGGAGGCGGAAGTCCCATTCTTAATGACACATCTAGGGAGAGGGGGGGGAACAGAAAGATAACCATTTTTACTCACATTCAACATGACGGAAAGAAACACCTCCTGATCTTTTCTAAGTATTAACAGTGCCATTCTGAGCGTCGTTTCAGCCTGTCGTTTCAGACTGCAATGGACTTAGATGGTGTAAGTCTGCTTAAGGTTGCACTGTAAGCCAGTCACATCAGGGGGGCCTATTTCCAAGGAAATACAATTCGGACTAGGCTATGAGACAGACAGTGGCACAGCCAATGATGCCAGGCTTAAGATTTCACAGTTGTGCACAATGTCGCCCAACATCTGTCATTAGCTATTTGAACACAGCCAATTCTGATGGGTTACCTTCCGAACTGTCAGAAACCATACCTATCAGTTCGCCCTGAGAAAATGCAGCTCTATTAACAACTGAGCAACAGAATGGAAACTTAAAGATTTGTGTAGTTGTGTTTAGAAGAAGAAGAGAAGAAGAGATTGGAGTTATACCCCGCCCTTCACTACCCAAAGGTGTCTCAGAGCGGCTTACAAACTCCTTTCCTTTCCCCTCCCCACAACAGACACCCTGTGAGGTAAAAGAAGAAGACGAAGAGATTGGTTTTATACCCCGCTCTTCACTACCCAAAGGTGTCTCAGAGCGGCTTACAAACTCCTTTCCTTTCCCCTCCCCACAACAGACACCCTGTGAGGTAGGTAGGGCTGAGAGAGCTCTGACAGAAACTGCTCTTTTTCAAGAACAGCTCTTATCAGAACTACGGCTTGCCCAAGGTCATCCAGCCAGGTGCAAGTGGAGGAGTGGGGAATCAAACCCGGTTCTCCCAGATTAGAGTCCGCACACTTAACCACTACACCAAACTTACCCAGCCCACGATACAACTAAGAGATTATCCTATCGTCACTGAGCAAGACCTCTGATTTTCACAACCCCACTGCACTCCCACAGTGTTCTCTAGCACATATGGCACCACAGGAATGGTTTCTTACCATTCTTCACAAATGCAATAAACTCCTTTACAGTCTGGTCCAGGTCAACACCATGGTACACGACAGGTTTGAAATTACGGTGCTCAAAGGAGCGAACCAGCCGAACAGTAATGGTCACGCCTTCTGATGACATTTGACTCAGCCAGACGTTACCTAGAAGGCAGAAGTGCAACGTCATATCAAAGTATTTCTTTTGAAGCACAGTTCAGAAATCTAAGATACTACTAGGTTCTTGAACATGCTAAGCACAAAAATGCAAGCCCACATTCTGTGTAAAAAAACCTCCAAATTCTGTAAGCAAAACAGAAGCCAATTTTTAATGTCCCGTCCTGTCAACTGTACCTGACTCACCCTGGGTAATAGACCTTGAGTCCAAGTGAGAAAGGAGGACTATAAATAGTGTAAATAATTTTTTTTAATAAATTCAGTATGCACAAGACAATGCAAACTTTGGGGAAAGGAAAGAAGACTGAAGAGAAGCATGGAAGACAGGAACTACTGAAAGGAAAATATGATGGGTTATAGGAATACTGTAGATATTACAGGAAACCCCACATTTGGATTAGTAGAAGTTCATTTAAAAAACCCTCCTTTCTGACCCTTTTTCCATTACCACTGACTTCCCTTTCATGATTTTTCTCAATGGTTGAGAAAATGGGGGGGGGCGGGGTTGTTAACAAAACAGACATCTATTAGTTTCCAAACTGTAAACTGCATTGCAGATTTCATAGTGTGTAGTACACACATAGTCACTCCCAAGGGTCATTTAGTAGAAAAAGAGGTGCAGGAGCTCATTAGAAAAGCTTATTTGCATAACTTATTTGCATATGCCACACCCCCTGACATCACCAGAAGTGTGTCAGAAGGCAACACCCACCACTCAGGCTCCACTGGACTGTTTTGGATTGCTAGCTATTGGGGTGGGGGACGTGCAGATCTGCCCCCACAGAGGAGGGAGAGCTTGTACCTGAAGGCAGGTCGGGGGGGGGGCTCTGCATCTTACCTGGCTGCTTCTTGCTCCTTGTGGCCCAACTGAGGGCTGCTGGGAGCAGGGGGTGGGGCTTGTTTCACGTGACCGCCCCCTGGGCTCCTTACTGCCAGAGCTCTGCTCCTGTGTGCTCCCGCAGGAAATTACCCCTGGTCACTCCCATCTAATTCCAGTGGCGTTGGACTGGAGTAACCCTGCATCGAATTACACTGAAAGAGATGCAGGGCTTATGTTTAAAATTATTACTAAGTGGAAAATAATTTAATCTGCTCTATTAAATAGGTTTTTAATGTAAACATTACTAGAGTTCTCAATTTAGATCAAAATGGGTAGCTGTGTTAGTCTGTATCTAGCGGTAGAAAACAGCAAGTGTCCAGTAGCCCCTTAAAAACTAACAAGATTTGTGGCAGGGTAGGAGCTTTCATGAGTCACTGGAACCTGAAGAAGCAAGCTCATGAAAGCTCATACCCTGCCTGTCCCAAATTTTGTTAGTCTTTAAAGCACTACTGGACTCTTGTCATTTCTCCATTTAACTCTAGCCCACACCAATTACAAGAGTTTACAATTTATAACCAGGAAATATATTTTTAACTCAAAGGTACCCCTACACAGAGACTGATCCAAAAGCCAAAGAAGAACCTAAACAGATTGCCTTCCAGACAGCTCTGTAAAATATTTACACTTTAAAATGAAGCATTTGCTTAATCGATACTGTAAGACCTCTGGACAAACACTCCTGTACCTTTACTTTCCATGAAAATTATCACTGTAAATTATCTTGCATGCTCATATTTCAGTCACCATTCTCAGATGATTTTAGGACTGTAATATCTTGCCTTTTCCTGCAGACTGGAAATCCTAACATTTTACTATAACTCATCATAAAGAGGGGTGGCTCGTGCTAATCACAAACAGCAAAAGAAGACCACTCATCATCAAAATAGAAGTTTGTGCAGATGAACGCGTTTGTGTTTCGGGGGGGGGGGGGGTTCCAAGTATGCCGGAAGATTTCTAAAATTAAGAAAAGGAAGGCAAACAAAAAAATAAAGGCTGGTGAGGCCTGAGCATGTTTCAGGAGGCATGTCGTTTTGAAAACAGCTGCATGTCAGTTGAAGGGGGATGGGAAAACAAATTTCCCTGCTTAAGCCTCCTCCTGGAGGAGATGTGGCAGTAAGATGTTCCAGCAGCTTATTCCCTTCCACAATTCCTCATGGGCTCCCAGCTTGTTCCTTCTAATAGCAAACTGCATAGGAAACCTCAGTAAGCATTAAGATAGGACTGCCTACAGATAAGGTAAGGCATACTCATAGTATGAAAAAAACATTACTTTTCAAAAAAAAAATTAAAGGAACCCTCCCCATGAGCTGCAGTGTGATGAGGACTAAACAAGATTCCTTGTTGTCCATGAAACACAAAACCTTGAAGCCAAGCAGGTCAGATAAAAAAGGAGAAGAAAACCGAGGGGGGGTTGACCTTTTAAGCCCCAATTCGTGCCATTTTAGCAGCCCAAATAGCCTAGTTCTGTGGTGGCGAACCTATGGCACGGGTGCCAGAGGTGGCACTCAGAGCCCTCTCTGTGGGCATGCATGCCATCGCCCCAGACAGGCCCAGACCATCATTAAAGTGTCGAATTCTCTGCCAAATAATTTTAAGTCAATGAAAGCATTTGGGATTGCTTTCCTTACTTTGTTTGGATCATCTTAAGTTAAAGTATGAGTTGCTTTTTCTAAAGTAAAACCTCAGTATTCAGGTTAAATTGCCGTGACGGCACTTTGCGATAAATAAGTGGATTCTGGGTTGCAGTTTGGGCACTCGGTCTCTAAAAGGTTCGCCATCACTGGCCTAGTTTATCTACAGCTTGGAAGCTAAGCAGGGCTGACCACAGTACTTGCACGGGAGACTGCAAGGATGACTTCAGTTGCTACACAGAGGAGGCCAGTGGGGACCCACCTCTGCTCATCTGTTGCTTTCAGAGATGAAGACTCAATGACATGTCTTTCTTTGTGCAGGATGCAAGTATCCCCCCCCAAAAAAAGACAGCAGAAGGGGGAAAGGTAAAAAATATCCCACTCATGTTAAATGAGCACCTTTCCTACTCAACTAACCCCCAAACCAAAGCGTTGGCACTATATGGTAGTTAAATTACCGCTGATGTTTAGGACTAGGTGAGCAGAAAGCGACTGAATTAACCTGGAGTTCAGTCCTCTCAAGGGGGTTCAAATGGTTTAACCTTCCCCACCTTCCTATACTACCATAATTTATAACCGACATTCCCGAATATGGAGATCTGTTGATAACTGCACAAAAATAAGGCAGAAAACAAAGAATGAAAGAAAAGGGATAAATCGCTTTCATCTTTTTGTATGCACCAAGCCCTTTACAACAATCATACCATTCATCTTTATAACAAATCCGTGGAGGTAGCGCAATGAACATACAAACTATGATTGGGTGTACAAATGGTGAATTTAGTCACCATTGTAAGAGGTCTGGGCTGATGAATTTGAACTCGAGAGGCAAAAGCTGCTCCACAGGATCACTGCAATGTTGCTACTTTGCTTGCAATGCACAGAGAGTACAGAAGGCAGTTCAACACGGCCACCCCAAGCAGAGTTGCACCCAAGTCCACTGCAGCCAATGCACTTACGACAGGCATAACTGCTTGGGATGGCACCAATGTTCCCTCTAAGCAGTGGAGTCTTGTGAGCAAAAATTCTACTTTGTGAGCTACTGGCATTAGAGTTGTGAGCAAGTGATTTGGCTACTGCATAAATTAGTTTGCTCTGGAGCCCTCCTTCCTGAGCGAAGACAAGAATGTGTGAGCTGGAGGCTAAAAAACTGTAAGCTAGCTCACACTAACTCAGCTTAGAGGGAACAGTGGATACCACAGAAGCCAGACAGCAATATAAGAATTATTATTTAAAATACAATGGAGGCGGTGTTTAGTTAAAATACATAGGTTTTGGAAAACATATCCACTTATTTAGACTATTTCTGTACGTCCTCTTCAGCCGTGTGCGAGGCAGCTTGCAATTAAAAACCGCACTGTTTTTTAAAAAAATGCAATTAAATGCACTTTGTACAAATACAAGCCGAGGGGAAAGCACACATTCAAGCCAGACTAGCCGAATTGCTCTATAGAAAAATCCAGACACGAAAGCCCTGTAAACACTTCCAGTTCAGACACAGCAGAGCTGAGGACTGTTATTTCTTCCCATCCGTTGGGTTTCCCCACCCCATGTACTACGTCATGATGGGGCGGATACGATACGAACCACGCCCAGCGCTGCGTTTCCATTGGCACTCCCTCTTGCCTCCCACCACGCCGGTCTCCCACCAGGCGGCGCTGCCTCCCCCCGTCTCCCCTTCCTCTTCCCCACCTTCGGCTACAATGCGAATTCTCGGGCTCCGCGCGACGCCTCAACCGGCCCTTCAACGTCACGTGACACGATCCCACACACACACACACACACACACACTCTCTCCGATTCGCCTTTTCTTCCCGAACAGCTTCTCCGCCGAAAGTGCCCGTTCTCTTTCGGCCCCTCCCCCAGTCAGTGATTGGCTGTTGCGCAAACCTATTTCGAACGCCCCCGAGGCGACGCGACCGATTGGCTGAGTTGTGTCTTTGTCCTGCCTCTGCTATTCGAGACCTTCCCGTCCCATCAGCCTATGAATGAGCCGGCACCTCGGTGAAAACTCAATAACAATGTAGTTTTGTTCAACTAGGTAACAAGTTCAGGTTGTTATTTAGTTTTCAGGTTGCATATCTTGAACATCATCGTGTCACATGCAATGCTCCCTCTAAGCCGTGGAGTCTTGTGAGCAAAAATTCTACCTTGTGAGCTGCTGGCATTAAAGTTGAGAGCGAGCAATTTGGCTACTGCATGAATTAGTTTGCTCTGGAGCCCTCCTTCCTGGGCTAAGACAAAAATGTGTGAGCCGGAGACTAAAAAACTATGAGCTAGCTCACACTAACTCAGCTTAGAGGGAACGCTGGTCACATGTTAAATTGCTGGTCATGCGCTGGCTTATGAACCTTGCCTGCCATTCTAGTGTATTTGAAAAAGTCTGCCCTGCACAGAAAGCCTATACCTTGAATAAACCTTTGTTGGTCTTAAATGCGCCACTGGACTCTAAATTGGTTCTCCCGCTTCAGACCAACAGGGCTGACCATCTGGATCTGTCCCCAAAGGGTTAGACTGGTGCCACTCTGCACTGGATTGTCCTGCAACTTCCCTAAAATCATTATATGGCCTTCTTGAAATGAGACTGTATAGCACAAAAGACCCCGTTTTTAAAAATGCAGTCCTGAACAGCTGCACCCTTCTAAATTCATTGGAGACAGTGTTTAGGATCTCTCTGCTCAAGAGGTCCTGGCCCCACCCCACTGCTGGACCTCCTGATGGCACCTGGTATTTCTGGCCACTGTGTGACACAGAGTGTTGGACTGGATGGGCCCATTGGCCTGATCCAACATTGGCTTCTCTTATGTTCTTACTAGCTGCGTTGCCCTCTCAACTCCTGTCCCAGCGTAAAACTAGCGCTCAGCTGAATGCAGAAGCGTAGTGCTCCATTCACATCCTTGTAAACACCTTGCGCTCTTACCACTCTAATGATGCCAATTGGACAGTCCAAATAAAACCAGAAATAAGGAGGCGGGCATTTCACTTTTTTAAAATCCATTCAAAAAAACCCTAAAGAGAGGAGAGGACATGGCATTAAAAAAGAAACCAGGAAGTCCGGTCTCCACCTAAGAAACTGTTGGTTTACTAAGGCCCCAGTCACACAGGCCGGATATCGCGGGGGGGAGGCATGGCAAATTGCCCCAGCGCAGTTTGATCCGTGATTATACGATCAGACGCACCAGCGGCACACCACGGGTCCTTCCCTCGGAGCCAGCGCGTAAACGAGGGGCTGGAGGGAAAAGCCGCGCACCAGCACGATCACACCACAGGCATCCGGAGGCATCCCGTGGCAAACCGTTTGCCAGTACTTTGGAGGTACTACTTTTTTATCATGTGTTTTCGGCATTAAGCCACGGGTTGGGGTGTGATCACGCACGGATAATCTGCCCACCACCCGTGGCTCTCCCGTGGCAAATTCGCCATGTGAACGGGGCCTACAATCTTTCTGCCTATAATGCGAGGCTAGTTTGCTTTTGTTTGTTTGTTTGTTTTACTTCTATGCGTCATGTTTCCCGTGTCATCTTCCGCTTGGCCAAAGTACAGCGGTGTGACTAATCTTTTTGCGTGTAATTGAGCCCATCAGGGGGCTATGTTTAAGGAGCTGCAGTCTAAACAGTTTTGTAGCCAGATTTCAGATCTACACAGACAGTCTTAGATTGTCCCACATGCCGACGAACAGTTCGGAAATGCATAACAAGTCAGGATCAGACAGGATGGAACAGGATTAGAAATTCCCTTCCGTTGACACCTGATCAGGACAGCCCAGGCAAGCCCGATCTCGTCAGATCCCGGAAGCTATGAAGGGCCAGCCCTGCCTAGGATTTGGATGGGATGGGAGATCTCCAAGGAATACCAGGGTCCTGAGGCAGAGGCAGGCGATGACAAGCCACATCTGAATGTCCCTTGCCTTCAAGCCCCACTAGGGGTCGCCAGAGGTCAGCTTGACTTGATGGCCAAAAAAAAAGACAAAAAGAAATTCCCTTTCGGTGCAGTACTTTGAAATTGCTTTACACACACCCCACACACACAAATGCAG